GGCTGTGCCGGGCCCCACTCCATTGTTTTTTGTTTTCCATTCGAGCGAACTCGCGTTGTCCCATGATTTCCGTGTGGGCTCAGCTCTCCTGGCGAAAGCGTTGGAAATGGAATCGCCGAGACCCCTGGCGTGCGGGCGATGCCGGAGATGGGCGGAAGGAGGAGAAGAAATAGTCTGTCCTGGTTTCTGTAGCTGGAGGAGGGCTGAGTTTTGAAATAAAAATGTTTTTGTCGTAATAGGATTAGAGAGGGGGATATAGGAAAAAAAAATCATTGGGAATGGTTTCATCTAGTCCTGCCATATGTAATACTTAATAAGCTACCTACATTTTATAGTTAGGTCAGATCCACCCCAGTTATTATTAAAAATGTGCTGTATTTACCAGTGGTTTATATCATCAGTTTTACATCTCCCGGGGAGTAGAGCCGAGCTGCTCTGGTTTACTCGGGGGGCTTCTCCCCCAGAGCTGGCACAAAACCCTGGGAGCGGCTGCAAGCGGAGCGGGGCAGCCCGGGGGCAGAGACCGGTCCGGCCCTGCCCGGCCCGGGGCAGCGCGACACTTTCCACCCGCGTCCCCCCGCGGGCCGGACCGCGCTGCCCGCTCCGCGTTATTTATTGCGCCCGGCCGCGTCCCCCACCCCGCCCCGTCCGTGTGCCCCCAAGCGTGTCCCGCGCTCGCATCGTCCCTTCGTGGAGCTCGTCTCTTTTATTTATTACAACACCGAATCATATATAAAGTTTTCAATAAAACCCGAATCTTTCTTACCGTAACTGCCGCTTTCCTCTTTACCTGGGAAACTCCATCCCTCCCGCCCTCAGTGGGCCGGGGAGGGGGCGCGGGGGGCGGGAAGGGACCGATCTCGGGGGTGGGGGGGCAGCGGGGCTCCGTATCCCGGGCCCCCTCGGCCGCCGGCGCTTCGCCAGCGCAACGAAACCCACCAGACGGAAAAGTTTTTCGTTTGATTTTAATAAAACGAAACTCGGGGAAGGGGACGTAAAACTTTTCCCCGCGGGGACGATGTCGCCCGCCGGCGGCGTGGGGGGTGCGGGGCCAAAGCCTCGCTGCGGCTCCGGGCGCGTAAGGAGCGCATCCGCGGAGAGCGGAGCGGGTAGAGGGGAGCCTGAACCACGCGGGGTCGCGGCTGCCGTCCCGGGAGGGACCCCAACATCGCCGGTGGTCCCAGGTACAACTGCGACCCGCGGCCCGCTCCCCGCTGCGCCCTCCCGCTCCCACCAAAATAATTTCCCCGTGGAGGAGGGAAGAGCCCGGTTTTGCGCCAGCAGCCGCCGGTGCCGCGGGCTCTGTGCCGGCCCGGGGGACTGGGAGCTGCCCCGGATCCCTCAGGTGGGTTTGGTCCTGTGCGAAGTTTGGGAAGATGCGCGGAGCACCCCGGCGCCGAGGTTGTTGGGGTAGCGGGCTCCGCCGTTCTCCTCTGCCCCCCCGCAGAAATACAGGGGCTGGGAACGGGAGGAAACACGCTCCGAGAGCTCCGCGGCTGCGGAGCTCAGCGGAGGCTCGGGAGGGGAGGCAGCGGCAAAGCCCGCGGCGCTCCCTGCCCGGCCGGGCACCGGGAGCTGTTGAGCCCCAAAGCAGGGGGCTGCCCCTGGGGGCGACGGGGGCCGTGGGCGGGCGTCCTCCCCTCCTCGGGGGGCCGGTGCTTGTCTGGCTTTTGATGCGAAAAAAGTAACTCAGTCCCTGGGTTGAGGGATAAATAAGTGTGTGTATTTCCCCCGTCTTTCGCCCCCAGCCCGGCAAACCGATCGCAGAAGGCCCCCCCGCCCTGCAGCCGGCCCGAGCTGCCCTTGCCCTTCTCCGCCGCCGGGGCCGAGGGTCGCGTCGCGCAGCCCAGCCCAGCCCAGCCCAGCCCCCTGCCCACCCGCCGCTCCCGCCCCGCCGCCGACCTTACCTGGGCGCACCGGGGAGGGCGCCGGCTCCGTCCGGCGGAGGGAAGGGGGGGGTCGGAGTCGCCAGGACCATCACCTCGGGGGGGCGGCGAGCTCCGCGCCCACCCTTCCCGCAGCCTCCGGCCGAGCCTGCGGGGAGGCGTCCGCAGTTGGGGATTGGGCAACCGCGGGAGTTGCGGGGGACTTTGGGGGGGGGGCATAGATACCCCCTGGTGTGCGTGGGGGGGAAGTGAGGGGCAGCCTCCGGGGGTGCCTGCTGTCCGCCAGGACAGGAACTGCCCCGGCGGAGCGAAGGGATGGTAAGGCGGCGGGGGCGGGAGGGGGAAGCGCAGCCCGGGCCGGGAACTGCCCCGGCAGGACCGGGGCAAAACGGGGAAGAGGGGCTGGAAGGGGGAGAACTGCCCCCGCAAAGTCTTCCTCCTCCCTCCTCCTCCCTTTGCTTTTTTGTGAATGGGCCGCGGCGCCTTTGTTGAGGGGAGAAGTGCCCGTGTCGCTGACTTTTGCGGGCGAGCAGAGGAGCTTGCTAACCTCCTTCCCTCTACTCATCGGCTCACGGCTCCCTCCCGCTCGGCTTAGACGGTTCCCTCCTCGCACAGGAAAAAGATTTGAAAAGAAGGGAAAACCCCCCCAACGACAACAAAATAAAATGGGGTGGAGGGAAGTCTTCCCCCCGGGAGACCGCGCTCCGATCGGGGCCGGCGGGCAGCGCCTTTGAACATTAGCTCGCTTTCAGCTCCACTGCAATTAGAGGGAGTTGATTTGGGGAGACCAACAAAAGCCGCGCACCGGAGCCTCCTTAGAGGTCCCGGTCCGCTCCGCCGCCGGCGCGGCCGCCGCGCCCCGACACCACCGGCCCGAGCAGCGAGTGCGACCCCGCGGAGCGGCGCGGAGGGCCCCGTGTCACCTCGACCCTCTTCCCCGCCGCTCCCGTGCGGGCTCTGCCAGCTCCCCCCCTTGCCCCCCGCGGTGCGTAGCAACCTCTAAATTCGGGACACGCGGGGAAAGGTGCGGTCGCTTCTGCTTTATTGGGATTTTAAAACACAAAGTTTGGGAGAGCCCCCGGGCGTCGGGGTGGGGGGGCCCCGACACCGCCTCCCACTTCCCCAGGAGTGCCTTCCGCGCCAGCGAAGGCGGCGGCCGAAACTTTTTCTGCGGTCTCCTCGGGCGGCAGGGGCGCGCAGGGCTGCGCGGAGCGGGGCGCAGGGCGGCGCGGAGCGGCGTGGGGGGCTTCCCGAGGGGGGGGACAGAGCTGCGCGGGCGCGGAGCGGACCCTCCAACCCCCCCGCACTTCTCTAAGAGTTCCCACCACCCGCCCTCCCCGCGGAGGTTGTGCGGGGCACTGCGCGCCCGCCCCCCGCAGCCCTGGCCCCGCCGGCCGGCTCTCCGCGGCGCCGGGGTCGGTGCGCGGGGGAGCGCGGAGCGGCGCGGGGCGGTGCGGAGGAGCCGTCGCCCCGCGCTGCCATTGCCCGGGCGGCTGTCAGTCAGGCGGGGAGCGGCCGGGGATTGGCGCCAGGCTGGTTACGCAGTTGCTTTGCGCGCACATACAAGGGTAGGGCCGGGGGTAGGTGATCAATCCTCATCAGGGCCGCGGCTCCATCGCCCCGACAGCGCGGGCCGCCGGGCAAGGTAAACGCGGGGCGCCCCGACAAGTCGGAGGTGCGCGGCTCGGCTTCGGGCAGCGCCCCCCCCGGCCCCCCTCCCCAGCCCGCCTCTCACCTGCCTGCCCCCCCCCCGCTCCTTCCTCCCCCCGCCCGGCCCCCTCCGCGCCCCCCGCCCGCTCCGCCCCGCGCTGCCCCGCGCAGCCCCCGCCGGGCGGGCGCTCAGTCGCTCCGCAGGTGGCCGCGCAGGTGAGGCGGGCGGGGGCGGCGGGCACCGCGCTCACCGACGGGGCGGGCGGCGGGACGGATCGTAGCGGGCCCGCGGCACCGCGAGCGGGGGTGGTGAGCGCGGCTGGGCCGGGGCTGCCTCGGGATTTTCATCTGTCCTCTCTTTCTCTTTTTCGCTTCTATTTCCCCCTTTCTCCTCACCTCTCTCCAGCCGGGACGGGCCGGCTCCGCCGCGTCCCCGACAAAGTTATGCAACGGCGGGTCACGGCGTTGCCACTCGACCTGCGCCCGGCCCCGGCCTACCGGGGGGTGCCACGAACCCCCACCCAGAATTTCCCCGGGGTGCCCGCCATACCCCCGGCTGGGGGGACAGTTGTCTCAGCCTCGGCAGCGGGGGCCGCCCCCGGGGCTCGACGGGATCGCCTGGGGTCTCTCCGCTCCTTCCTCCCCTCCGCATTTATCTGCGGGATTTTGCCACCGAGCCCGGCCGCTGCCTTCCGAGCTGGGTCCCGTGTATGTGTCCGTCCCCCCCGCCGGCCCTGCCGGAGACCCCCGGTAGGGCCCCGCCGCCGTCCCGTCCCGGCTGCCGGCGCTGTCGCCCGCTCGGCTGCCGGCGCGCTCCTTTTTCCTTTTCCCCTTTTTAACTCTTATCCATTTCTAATTAAAACGTCCCCGTCTGCTCGCTTTTAAATTAATTATACTTCCCTCCTCTGATACCTCCTTTTGATTCCTAATCCAATTATCTTTTTAAATAATTGCTTTATCTCTCCCGATCGCCGGGCACTGTTGCCTTTCGGCACTTGCGCGCAACTCGCCTTCGTTTAAAAAAATAATAATAAAGTTAACAATCGGAAGCCGCCCACCCGGTGTCCCCGCGCCGGGTGGGCGCAGACCTGCGGGAGCTCCGGGCGCCCCCCGGCAGGACTCGGGGCGGCCGGAGCCTCACCCACTTTTCTCTGCTCTCTTCCCAGGCGCTCCGGCCTCGCCTCCGTGCGGGGAAGAAATCCGCCCGTTTCCCGATCGTCGTTATTATTTTAAATTTTTTTTTCTCCTTCATTTTTATTTTTCCCTCACTTCACCTGCGATCACTCGAGGACCTCGCGGCGGTGACAGCGGGACGGAACGAAAAAAAGTCCTTTCACGCTGATTTTCTGCTCCGTTTTTAAATTATCGTTGGCTTTTAATTTTTTTTTTTTTTTTGCCTCTTGTTTGGTTTTTTTCCGGGCTACTTTTTGTCGGCTTTTTTTTTTTTCCTTCCCTTCTTTTTCCCCCTTCCCACCCCATACATTTGATTTGATTTTGAATTGGGTTCGTTTTTTTTTTCTGCGGGACTTTGGAAGAAACTGCCCGGCTTTTAGCATGATGTCTTACCTCAAACAGCCCCCTTACGGCATGAATGGGCTGGGGCTGACGGGCCCCGCCATGGACCTGCTTCATCCCTCCGTGGGGTATCCGGGTGAGTACCACGGGCCTCGCCTGCGCCCCCCCCCCCCTCCCCCGGTTCCACTATCCTCCAGCAAGCGGAGGGCGAAAAGTTCATGTCCCAGGCTGTTTTGGAGGACCCGATGGGGCTGTACGGTTTGGGGTGGTCTGTGGGGTGGGTCCCCCTGTTTGCCTGCACCCCTGGCTGGGGAGAGTGGGGTCTAGCTGAGTTTCTCCCCTGTTCCGGGGGTTTCTTCGTTCTTGCGGCGATTTTTAAGGATAAAAAAGTTTTAAATGAAGAAAAAAAAAGTGAATTTATTTCGGCACAACGAAATCTCCCCGTGGCTCCCGCTGGAGCCAGGCCCGACCCTTCCCCAGCCCTGTGCCCCTCACCCTGCCCTCAGCGAGACGGGGCCCAGCAGCCATGGGGGTGTGGGGGCACTGCTGCAATTTGGGGTCAGCAGCAGGGGTTTATCTCAAGCTGCTGCACCAGGGATCCCGGGGCTCCCGCCGTGCTGCAGAATGTGCGGGAGGTGCGTGGGGATCCAGCGTGACCAGTGTGGCCGTGCTCATCCCCCAGCCACCCCACGGAAGCAGCGGCGGGAACGCACAACCTTCACCCGCTCGCAGTTGGATGTGCTGGAGGCTCTCTTTGCCAAGACCCGCTACCCCGACATCTTCATGAGGGAGGAAGTCGCCCTGAAGATCAACCTGCCCGAATCCCGAGTCCAGGTACCGGACCTGCGTGGGGGAATCCTGCATGGATGTGGGTTGGGGGGATGCAGGGACGTCCCAGCTCAGCTGGCGCCACTCAGACTGAGTGTTCCGTCCATACTCATCCCTGTTTCCTTGGGACGGGAGTGCATGTGGGCTTCGGTCCACTTGTTTGTCCCACTCAGCCGAAGACGGGGCATTTATTTTTATTTATTATCCTCTTGCGATAACATTATTTTTATTAATATTTTTCTGTCACACTCCACCTGCACAGCAGCCCCACTACCTGAGTGCTTCCTAGAGGTACTTCCTCTGGGCACTGTTCCCCAGATACCCAAAGGGTTGGAATATGCAGGCAGCACCCAACGCAGGATCTGTCCTCCGAAACCATATTTTGTCACCATGACAGGGATATGCACGAGCTGGGGCACCTCAGCCATTGACCCTGGTCATCGTTGCTTTTGGCAGGATGTGGTGTGGCCTGGGTGTTAGACCGGGGTGGGTTTTTTTATTTTGGGGTGTGGGGGGATGTGCTGATGGCTGGGTGCAGGTGCTCTCAGAACTGGTGCCAGGGTGAGGTTGGTTGGGTGCTCACAGAGTGAAGAGCCCCTTCTGGGGCTCTCTGGGCCCCCTGCTCACCCCACCACCCCTCCTTGCTGCCCTGCACCCCATTTTCTCCCTCCAGGTCTGGTTCAAGAACCGCCGTGCCAAGTGCCGGCAGCAGCAGCAGAGCGGCGGCGGAGCCAAGAGCCGCCCGGCCAAGAAGAAATCCTCGCCAGCTCGGGAGAGCTCGGGCTCCGAGAGCAGTGGGCAGTTCACGCCGCCGGCAGCGGCCTCCAGCTCGGCCTCCTCTTCCTCCTCCAGCTCGGCCTCCTCAGCCCCGGTGGGCGCCCCGGCATCTCTCAGCACCCCGGCGTCATCCATCTGGAGCCCGGCTTCCATCTCCCCCGGCGCGGCGCCGGCGGGGGTGACGGTGCCCGAGCCGCTGCCTCCGGCCGCCGCGTCCTGCATGCAGCGGGCCGGCCCCGCCGCCACCGCCGCCTCCGCCAGCTACCCCGTGTCCTACAGCCAAGGCGGGGGGTACGGACAGGGGTACCCCGCGCCGCCCTCCTCGTCCTACTTCGGGGGCGTGGATTGCAGCTCCTACCTGGCGCCCATGCACTCCCACCACCACCCCCACCAGCTCAGCCCCATGGGGCCCTCCTCGGTGCCAGGCCACCACCACCACCACCCGCTGAGCCAGAGCTCGGGCCACCACCACCACCATCACCATCACCACCACCACCAGGGTTACGGCGGCACGGGGCTGCCCTTCAACTCCTCCGACTGCCTGGACTACAAGGAGCCCGCTGCTGCCGCTGCTGCCTCCTGGAAGCTCAACTTTAACTCCCCCGACTGCCTCGACTACAAGGACCAGGCGTCCTGGCGCTTCCAGGTCTTGTGAGGGGCCGATCACCATCCCCCCAAGCTGCCACTGACCCCCCACCTGGGGTCCCCCCACCGCCTCCTGGGCAAGACTCTGGCTCTTCCTCCTCCTCCCTCTTTGTTAGCAGTGGCGATGCCCTGGGGAGGTCCTGCCACCCCCATCTCTACTGACTGATATTTATTTTGCTTCCTGCATCGCTCCACCAGGTTTATTATAATTATTATTTTTTTAAACGCAACAGAAGAGGAGTTTAAAAAAAAAATAAATTAAAAAAGCCTAGCGTCTCCCCTCCTGCCCCCCGGGCAGAGGCGCAGGCTGGCTCCTGCCCTGCCGGTGCCCCCCCACCCCCAGCTTTGTGCGGGGACCCTCAGCCCCTCCGGGCACGGAAGCCCCGGTTTGCCGGTCCTGTACAGCCTCTTGCCGCGGGGAGCGGCGGGAACAATGTAAATACTAGGTCCGTTCCAGTGACCACGATTATTTTTAGTTGATGCTGTTGGGTTGGCATTTATCTAGAGTCTAACGTGGAACAGAACGTAAAAAAAAACGAACAAAAAAATAATCTTTTTTAAATTTTAATTTTCTTCCCTAAAAATGAATCTTTCCCAGTCTCATGTCCTCCGTCCATCCTCGAGGGCTCTGCACAAGCTTGGCTATGCCGTCCCGGGGCTGGGGGCAGGGGTGTGCAGCAGCCATGGGGGACGCCCAGAGGGGGAGGCAAAGGGGGAGGGAAAGGCTGCCCAGCTGATCCGCAACCTGCAAACCAAAAAAACCCAAAACTTTTGGAAAAAAAAAAATAAAAAGGCAAGAAAAAAGCCGTAAAAAAAGTTTTGGTTTATTTTTTGGGGGGAGGGTTGCAGGGGCAAGCAGCTCTGCTTGGGGGCGGGGGGAGGGGCGCACGGCTTTTCGGGGTGTGTTTTTTGATTTGGTTTTCGTTCTGGTTTTCTTGAGCCCCTTCTGTCGGTCGGTGCGTGGTGGCGGGTCGGTGCCGCAGCCCCGCGTTGCCCGCCTGCCTCGCCCACCTGGGCTGGGGCTTTCCGGCAGCTTTGCCCCGCAGGGAGGAGAGGGACCGTGTAAGCGTGATTTTTGATGCCGTAACCTCATGCTTACCCCTTCGACTGTAAGGGACCCCTTTCTTTCTTCCCCCCAACCCCAATAAAATCTAAACTAATAAACGCAGTGGTGTGTCCTGTGCTCCTTCCTCCCTCCCGCCTCCTCTTCCTCGTGAAACTTCCCTGGGAAGAGTGAGGTGCTGGGAAAGAGTTCCTCTGGGGTCCCAGCAGGAGGGGGATGTGTGTGATGAGTTTGTGAGTGCTCTGGAGGGGGACCCACCGCCACTTCTGCAGGTGTGGGCTGGGGACCCACTCTTTCGTTAATTGACGCTTAATTGGTTACTGATTTATTGCTGCGCCGCGGTGTCGATGGGGCTCACGGGATGGGCAAACACTGGCCGAAACAGCAATCCCCCGCAGCTGGTGGGGCAGTCCCCCAAACTCGGGACCCACGGGCACGCCTGAGTGGTGGTGGTGGGGTGCGAGGGCCACTCGGACACCCAGCCCCGCAGCCAGACCTCTGCCCACTGTGCGGGGAGGGGTGTTCGGCATTCGTGCTTCCAGCCCTGGCTCCCGGCCGTTCCATCCTCACCCGCTGCCGGCTGGGAAGACAGGGGGATGAATTATTGCTCGTGACAATCCCCCCCACCCCTTTTTTTTTATTCTCCTTTCCCCAGACCTTCCCTGCAGTTGTTGGAAGCTGTCAGCTGGTGCCGGGGCTGTTCCTACCCGCAAACGACTAGAGCTGAGGGCATCAGCGGGGCCACTGCTACCCTGCTTGGGTCATTGATCCACTGCTCGGGGAGCACTCCCAAATTCCCATGCTCCTCCCTGTGCTCTCGCATTAGTGCCCGCTGCATCTGGACGCTCGTGGGCTGTGCCGTATGTCCCCATCCTTGGTGTTCCCAGGAACTCCTGGAGCAGTGGAGACCGTGGTGGGGTGAGAGGTGTTAAGGCATTGGTGTTCTCCGTGCGGCCACTTTGGGGAGGGTTTCACACACTCCCTCCCGTCCGAACTCCCCCCGCCCCAGCGTCGTGGTGGATGCGAACGGGGCTGGCAGTGCTGCTGCTGCTGCTGCTGCGGTGGGAAAACCAACGGGGGTCAGCCCCAGGTGCCACCCGTGCATCCTTCCAGGGTCGTGGCCATGGCATAGCCCCGAGGCGAGGGGTGGCTTCCCGCACCCCACGGTGCAACGGGAAGCGATGGGAGGGGACGAGTGCAGCTGAGTCAGTCTTAGGGGATTTTTCTTTAAGTGGTTCTTTTCCTTGTTGTCCCCTTCTGTGCATATATATAGATAACATATATTTGAGTATTTATTTTTTTAAATGTATCTTCACCTATAAAATAATTGTTCTCTTCTGCAAGCACAGGTCAGACACTCATCACAGTGAAGTGTGGCTGTACAAGCAGTTTAAGGGAGGGCCATGTGTGCTGGGTCTAGTGCAGCAGTCCATGCATCCCCAAGCCCTTCTTTTAAAGAGGCAAAAATTAACACAGCCCTCCTGGGTCTGAAAAAAAAAATCTGTGCTGGGCACGAAACGAGTCAGAGTTGCCCTCCCAGATTTAAGGAGCACCTGAGAGACAAGAGTCAGTAGGTGTATAACCCACACTGCCCCAAATACACACTTTTCATCTTCTTTAGACAAAAATTATGCACACTTCTTCATCCTTATAAACTGTGTTCCATTATAACTCAGTAAATCAGTGAGGCTGAAACAGAGCCAAGAGGGGAGCCTGAATTTTGGTTTTGGTGATGTAGTCCTAAAACTCTTCATCCAGTGCCCCACAGTGGGGCTGGGCCAAGGGTCTGTTTTGGGGTTTGGGACTCCAAGGGATGCTGGTGTTCCCCCCCCAGCAGCGCCTTGTGCCACTGGCCAATGGCTTGTCCAGCAACTCCCACACCGGAATTTGGGCATTTTCCCACTCACACAGATTCAGAGCACGGTGTTGAAACTGGTTGCTGAGCCCAGCTGGCAGTGGAGGCACAGAGGTGAGCTGGTCCAGATCACATCAAATCATGGCTTTGCCTTCAATGCTTGGCTTCACTTTTTTTAAATTTCTTTTTCAGTCTGTGCCAGCAGGGTGGGCAAGACATGACTTGTGCCTGTTGGTGGGCGAGCGTGGGCTGGGAAGGGTCATATCCGGGTTCGGGGGGGGCCCGGCGCCCTCCCTGTTTTGCCAGCTTAAGCAGCGGAGCAAACTTCTCCCGGTGTGGGCTTCCTCGAGGCTTGAGCAGGCACAGCCACCCCGAGCATGAGTCATGGCAGGTAAGGTGGCACAGTGCCGTGGCACTCGCTGCCTGGTGCCCGGCTCCAGGGGCAGGCGCCGGCAGGATTGCCAAGCTTTTTAGGGCAACCCGGTTCTGAGACAGCTGCCGGGGTGGCTCGTGCCTCACCTCTCAAGCAAGAAGGCTGTTGGGTGCATGGCTACTGTTTTATTATTTTATTTTTTTTTATTAAAAAAGCATTTGCTGCTGGAGCACGGAGCTGCCAGTGGCCCAGGGGTGCAGCCACAGCGCCGAGACGCGCCGGGTTACCCGGCACAGGCTGTGAAGCTCCCGCCTCTTCCCCGGGTGCCGGCAGCTGCCTGGGCTACCGAGAGCCTGCTCCAAAGGCACGTGGGGCTTTCCCACCTGTAAGTGGAGGGCCAGGATTTGGGGTGAGGGGGGAGAGGGACAGAGGGGAGAACATTCCCCAGCTTGGGCTGTCGTTAGCTTTTATGCCTGGTGGAATAATTGATGACCTATTCGCTGTTATCAGAGTATTTGCTCCGAGTTGAGTCCCTGCTCGGGAAGCTTTGCTGTTAAACCCCCCACGTGTGGCAGGGAGCTGTGACAGGTGATGGTGTGAACACCCTTAGCGGTACCAGGCTGTGCAGAGGTGGGCAGAGGCTGGCCAGGTTGCTTCTGGCTGGGGTGACCAACTCCTCTTTATTGCGCAGGATGTGCTTCGGGAACGCAAATTGTTGTGGCTGAGCAAGAATTAAATTATTAAAAAATTATATCTATAAATTGTGTGGCAAGTTTCAGAAGTCGTACCCACTAACATGACTTACTACAGCTATTTTGTAGACAGCCCTTCTGGCAGGGCACAGAGAAAACAGGTGATTACAACTGAATAAGGAACCATCCGTTTGTGGTTTTCCCTGTGCTGACCTCTGTGTTAGCCAGTTGCTGCTAATTCATGCACTTTGAGTAGCAACTAATGCACATAAAATCCCATGCTGGTTCCAAACCTGTTTTGATTTAGTCAAAAAAGGTCAGCAGATATACCTCCCAGCTGAGGAAGCTGCTGTACTGGAGAGCTCTTGTACAGTGGAGCACAGAATACCGTGGGGAAGGAGGAGGGTGAAAATGGTCACAGGGCTGAAGCCGAAATGAAAACATACACCTATTTCCAGTTAAATCCCTATTCAACACTTCTTTTTTTTCCAGGACATACAGGACTTTTCCAAGAAAGCCATGAGAGGATTTCTTTTTTTTAAATGAAAAACTGCAATTTTAGGAAACAGCATTCTGGACCTTATGTACATTTCTAGTATCACTTCCTCTATATTTTTAAGCTGAAATCCTCTTAGCATGCAAAGTAAATAGATTATGATATACTGAAGGATTAAGAATCACTGTCTGGTGTCAGATTAATCCCTCATATAGACCATCACTTGTACTGACAGAAATATGGCTGCAATTCAGCAAAATAGCTGTATGGCAAGGCAATGTGTCGTAGCCTCTTACGCAGAACAAGCCCTCCGTCATTGTGGTCCATCGCTGTGCTGTGTGTCCTTCAGAAATTAAATTTATGGGACATTAAAGGCATCTTCTTTTACAATGGCCATTGCCATTATGGCTCTGTGTGGGGAGGTGATGCAGCAGCCTGCTCTGTTTCAAAGCTCTCCTTATTTATTTTTCCCTGTTAGGTGTACAGAATCCTATGGATTGCAGCCCCTTTGCTCCCTTCAAACCACAAACCAAAATGTCTTTGAATCCTTTGAATACACTCATGGAAAGGTGCTGACTGGGATGAAGTGCTAAAATGGTGCAACCAAAATCACCCATCAGGCAGCAGAATTTTGACCCATGGGGGGAAACGGCTGGTGACAGCAAGCCCAAGTATTTTATCTGGGTAAATACAGACTTTTGGTTAATAAAATACTTCTAATGGCTTGTGGATTTCTTTTTTTTTTTTCACA